CCCCCCCCCCAAAAAAAAACTCTGAGCTGGATCCGCCTCTGTCCTGTACTCTGGCTGTCCTACAAAGCACACTTTGCGCATCAGTACGACACACACAGTGAATTATTGCCAGCGAGTTGAAGCTACCTACCTACGAGACCAAGATTACTATCGCACCAACCAAGCATATCCACTTACGGATAATTAATCGCTTCACGTATAACACGCTTGTCATGGATTCAGCTGGCATTGAGACCTCCCCTGGCTCATTGGCGTGTGTCTGCAGGGATATGGGACTGACTACGCTAGGGGAGCTTTGTGAAAGGTGATGCCACTAATCCCCTGTAAATGCATCCGGGATGGCAGCGTCTTCAAGGTCGCCTCGTCTCGTCAAAGCTGGCTTAGCAGCATTGTGGCACCTGTGAGCAATGGCAGTCTGGGCTCCATGAGCTGGATGTGGCTCTGTTGCTAGCAACTGCAGGTTGAACTGAGTATTGCACATAGTTACATCATAAACACTGCAACCATACAAGTGCAATTCAAAGCTAAATAGCGAGTTTAAGACTGCATCGTTTTGAAAAATGCTACAAATGTCAAAATGTAAAAACCTAGGGCCAAAGGGCGCTTGAAATTATAAAAAAACGTGGCCAATTGTGAAAAATAAAACCTAGTTGCATCCCCTAAAAGCCTCCTATATCGGAGCATTGGTCATCGAATCGTAGCACCGCACTCTTATTCTGATTTAGAGGACTGTATCATTCAGAGAAATAGTTAGTTTACCTTGTCGTTAGTCAGCAATAGTTTTCAAAAGCAATAGCTTTCCTTGAAGCACTTTTGCAATTGGATCCATCCTCTGGTAGAACCCTAACTCAAGTTTCCACTGGATGGCCAACTGACGTCGCCGGCCACCAGTGTAACCAACCCATGTTCAGCTGCAGCTATCCTCGTCCCTGTCCCTGTCATCCCCTGCTTGTCTCTGCTGTCCCATCCTTGCTCCGTAAGGCTGACAGCTGCCTGAGCTGCGGTCGGACACCCCCGCCCCATCAACTGTTCAGTCCTCCCCTCCTGCATCCCAGTGTCTCGTCAAGATAACGGTACCGCCAGAAGAAGTCCTGGTGGTAAGTACCGTCACCTAGCAGACTGAGAGAGAAGCTGCTGCCTACCCACAAACATCAATCGTGACTAATACCACATTAACCCAGATAATACTCGACTGGAATGACAAGAAGCATTCCAATTAATGATAACAATGTGTCGGGACCTGGCATCCCATGCTTTTATACAGCGTGTCCTAGAATTGACCGAACACTGTTAATCAGTGCATAAGATAAGGGAAACATAATTGCACTTTTTTCTTTTTGTCGTCCGATATAGTCAGTAAGGGTAGTGACGGGATTTCGTAGGTATAAATATGTATCCGCGTGGTGACCGGCCGCCGCGCCGCCGCCGCCCCCGTCCGGTGCTGCCGCCTGGCGGCGGGCCGGCGAGCGACCCAGCCCGGGTCAGCGGAGCGGGCGGCCGGGCGGGCAGTCAGGCGTGGGCCCTGACCGACGACGGAGCGGCGCGGTGCAGAGCGTGTGAGACCAATACATCAGCACCGGTGACCTGTTGGTGTTGGAGCACGGCGGTGGGAGGCGAATCTCAACATTGGCGCGGTCGGTAGGACGACAAGGGACCAGGTCCGCCTCGCCGTGGATGCCACACCAATCTACGCGCCTGCTCACAGGTGAGAAAATTCCCGAGAGGAAATATTGCGCTTAAATTTGTACATATTCTTTTACATCGTACTGCTAAAACATCCGGCGTGTTACCGCCTGTTTAGCCGTACTTCCCTGCGGGCATTGTTCCTTTTTCAACTGTGTGTCCTGACACGTTGAAGTATTCGGCGTTTGCCCGTAACTTCAGCGGTGTCCCGATCCTGACCGGGCATGGATCCCAAAATACTAATTTTGTCTAAGGCTAAGCCATTTTCTGGAGCACAGGGGCAGAATTGGAATCAATGGGTGAGCCGGTTCGAAGCCCAAACCGCTTCGTTTTCCGATGCAGACCGCATCCAGTGCCTCGTGGCGCTCCTCGAGGAGAGGGCGCTAGACTGTTACGCCTCGTTTCCCGACAAGACTAAAACCAGCTATTCAGGAATCAAGGCGGCCCTGGCAGCGCGCTACGGGTCAGATGTCGGAATTCTCCAGGCCCAGGCAGAGCTGGCAGGAGTCATGCAGGGGCCTGGCGAGTCCGTGGTCGACTTCGCCGACAGGATCCGTTTGCTGGGCCGCGCCGCATATCCACGTGCCGGCGAGACCGACGCATCCGTCCAAACGAATTTGGCAAGTCGGTTCTTGTGTGGACTGCACGATGAACGTCTGCAGGGCCAATTATGCGGCGAGGATCTGCACACGTTGCAGGCTGTGGCTGACAAAGCGTGTGCCGTACACAAACGTCAGGCGACTGTCAGTGCGATGAGGCAGGCCACAGCCGGGGTGCGGTCAGTGGCAGCGGCCGCCCAGCTAGGGGATGACCACGTTGCCGTCAGTCGGCCTCCGGGGGGTATTCCGGCGGCAGGGAGGAGCGGCGTGAGCCCGCCCTACCTCGCGCCGGGAACCGTGCCCCCCGGGGATGTTGCCCAAACGTGTGCTGGGGCGGACGGGCTCGGTCGGGGTGTTCCGGCGGCGGGGAGGAGCGGCGTGTGCCCGTCCTACCTCGCGCCGGGGACCGTGCCCCCCGGCGAGGTTATCCAAACGTGCGCTGGGGCGGGCGGGCTCGATCGGGACCCGTCGCGCCTCTGGGATGCCGATCCTCAGATGACCTTCGAAGCGCTGCCGGTCACCCGTCCATCGAATGGTGGGGAGGGGTCGGCCCCGCTGCATGCGCTCGAGCGTCGCCTCGATGCTGTCCAACAGGCGCTCAAAGAGCTTCAGACTGCCGACCGGCAGCGGGACGGCGCGGCCATGGGTGAACGGACTGGCTCAGAGCACCCGAGATCAACTCAGAGAATGCCTGGGACGCGCCGGAGTACTGGCGGGGGGTCTGGGAGCCGGCGGGGTCGATGCTGGACGTGCGGCGAGCAGGGGACCCACTATGCACGCGAGTGTCCCCACTCGGTCAAGCGGCCCAACCCTCATGGAGAGCGGCCGTTTTGCCTGGGCTGTGGAAGGAGTGGCCACTGGTTGGTGGACTGCCGCCTGCTCCCTGGTGCTCCTGTTCAGCAGATGTACCCCGCCGCACCCCGAGATACCTCCTCGGTGCCGCCCTCTGGCATGCAGGGAAACTGATGTCGGCCGGTGCTGAGGGACAGGCGCCGGCCCCGTATCCATCAGGGTCCCGACTTACCGCTTCGGTGGTAAAAGCGCAAGTAGGAGATAAGGAAGTGTGGGCCCTGGTGGACTCTGGGGCCGACTTCACCATGATCCGTGACGGCCTTCAAATAGATATACAGCGGGATCTCGGCTACCAAATGACGCGGCCTTCCCGTCCGGCGAGAGGCGCTGGCGGCGAGCCCCTTCATATCGCAGGCGTCCTGAGTGAGATTCCAATTAGAATTCGTGACCAGTCATTTACATGCGCGAGTGTCGCGGTGGTCAGCGGTCTGGTGTATGACGTCGTCCTGGGCCGTGATTTTTGCTGCCGGTATGGCACCATCATCGACGACCAGCAGGGGGTCCTCAGGCTCGCGGGAATGTCCATTCCTCTGCCAACATACGGCGAGATCAGACCGACCCGCGCGAGGGCGTTGCTCACGGCTGCAGCTGTTGTCCCGGCCCGGTCAGCCCTCATCGTCGCGGCCCGGGTGGCACCTCTCGACGGAAAGGTGCGCAATCCGTCATCTCTGTCAGGAGTTTTCGAGCCCAGTCACACAGCGGAGAGGGAGGGCCTCCTGATCCCGAGGGAGGTGGTAACAGTTGACCATGATGGCACTGTTCCCATTCGGCTGACCAACGCCGGCTTGGGGGAGATCAAATTACTGAAGGGTAGTGATGTCGGCACGCTCTTCGCCATTCTTCCCGGAGCCGACAACGAGTTCGACTTGTGTGACGACAGACAGACCAGCGTACGTCACGCCGTGGCGTGTGTTGGGCCTGGAGCCGGGAACGTCACCACAGGCTGCACCCAGGCGCAGTGCGCAGCAGACGTTCTCAATGCACCCGACGACGGGGGCGATCGGCGTGTGCCCGCTCCCCCTGTCGTCGATGTGGAGAGCTCTGGGATGTCCGCGGAGGGGAGAGCTGAACTAAAGCACTTGGTGATGGAATATCAGGATATATTCAGCCGCAATTCCGGAGATATCGGATGCACCCACCTCACGAAGCATCACATCGACACGGGAGACGCTCCTCCGGTCCGGCAGCCGCCTCGGAGGATCCCCGCCTCGATTCGTGAACAGGTGGAACTCCAAAAGGAGCAGATGTTGCGAGACGGAGTTATAGAGCCCAGCGACAGCCCATGGTGCTCCCCCGTAGTTCTCGCACGCAAGAAAGACGGATCCTTCCGTTTTTGCGTGGATATGAGAGCTGTCAACAGCGTGACGAAGGGTCTGGCACACCCGCTTCCTAGGATCGACGACGCATTGGACTCATTGGCTGGGGCGCGATGGTACACCACCCTCGATATGGCCACAGGATACTGGCAGGTAGAGATCGCTCCCGAAGACCGTGAAAAGACCGCGTTCACGACGGGGAGGGGACTGCACCAGTTTCGAGTGATGGCCATGGGGCTGAAAAACGCCGGCGGCACCTTCCAGCGCCTGATGGAGCTTGTGCTGGCGGGTCTAGACACCCGGACATGCCTCGTCTACCTAGACGACATCATCCTCTTCAACAAGACCGAGCACGAGCACCTGGCGACTCTGAAAGACGTTTTCGAACGTATCAGAGAGGCCGGTCTCAAACTCAAACCCCAAAAAATGCCACTTGGCAAGAAACGAAGTCACCTTTCTCGGGCACTCAGTATCGGAGGCAGGAGTGAAGCCAGATCAAAGGAACGTGGACAAGGTCCTCACGTGGCCAGAACCTGCCGATGACTCGAAGATGAATAGCTTCCTGGGGCTGTGTGGCTACTATGCCCACTTCATCGATGGCTATGCCGAGATCGCCAGGCCACTGAGGAACGCTGCACTGTCACCCGGGAAACTGGTGTGGACGGCGGAGATGCGCCAGGCTTTCGCTCAGCTCAAGAGCATCCTGGCTTCGCCCCCCGTGTTGTCTCTGCCTCGTTTCCGCGGCATGTTTGTGCTGTATACGGACGCGTGCAACACGACGGTGGGGTCCGTCCTGACGGAACGGATCGATGGCGAGGAGCGTGTCATAGCCTACGACAGCAAGGTCCTCACAAAGCAGCAGGTGAAGTGGCCCACTTATGACAAGGAGTTGTGGGCTGTCGTCCACGCTATCAGACGCTTCCGTCAATACACCACAGGCGCCAAGTTCCTGGTCGTTACCGACCACAAACCTCTGGCCAACATCCCTCAGTCCATTGCGGTGGAACGTGACGGGACGGGACGGCGAGGCCGTTGGGCCATCGAGCTAAGCTCGTTTGAATTTGATGTCGAGATCAAGGCTGGAGTGGAACACCGCAACGCTGACGCTCTATCCAGGCGGCCAGCTGAGTCCGGAACAGTGGAAGTGCCGACTCCTGAAGTGGCTGTCGCCTCCGTATCTGGCGCTAAGGCGTCCGTAGCAGCGTCCCGCTTCCTGGAGGATAAACCTCGCTCCGGCGGTACGTTTTCAGGCGTGTGTCCTGACCCAGATCGCGCCGGAGGAGTAGAGACCCAGGTGATGTCTCGTGCCCTGAAGGGCAGTCCTGTCCCTGGTGGTACGGATACAGGCGTGTGTCCTGATCCAGACCACACAGTCCAGGCACAGGTGACGTCTGGTGCCCTGAAGGGCTGTCCTTTCCCTGGTGGCACGGATACAGGCGTGTGCCCTGATCCGGACCACACCAGCCAAGGGGGATACAAGCGGCGGTCAACGCGCCTCTGGGGGCTGGCAGAGGCGACGCTCAGGGTATTCGTCAAGCTCAGGAACAGGACTACGCTTTGCAGCAGATCCGCAGCCGGCTGGAGAGTGGGGAGACACCAGATCGGAGCAAGATGGGAGCCTGGGGGAAGGTGCTGCTGCCCCGCTGGAGGGACGTCGAGCTGCGCGATGGAGTCATCGGACTGGCGACGGGTGAGGGCTTTCGAGCAGCTGTCCCAAAAGATCTCCGGGAGGAGATTCTTAAAATGGCGCATGACCATCCGACCAGTGGGCACATGGGACGGCGGAGGACATCGTTTCGTGTCAGACGGCGTTTTATCTGGCCGGGGATGTACCAGGACATACGCGCGTTCTGCGATGACTGCGTCCCCTGTCAGAGAAGGCACCGGCCGTCCCCCGCAAAAAGAGCCCCGATGGTGACGGAGACGACGTCCTTGCCCTTCGAGAGGATCGCCGTCGATGTCACCGAAATGCCAACGTCCTTAAAAGGAAATAACTGCGCTCTGATCATCATGGACTATTTTTCCAAATACGTCCGCATCTACCCAATGGCTGATCAGAAGACCGAAACCATACTGGAATGTCTCCTGGACTGGGTCCACGACTTCGGTGTCCCAGATCGCCTTCATTCTGACCAAGGGCGGCAGTTTGAGTCCCGAGTGTTCCAGGCCATGTGCCAGAGACTAGGTATCCACAAGACCCGAACTACGCCGTACCACCCCGAAAGCGACGGCATGGTAGAAAGGTTTAACCGGACGCTGAAGGACATGATCAGCAAATACGTCGATGCTGAGGGGCTGCATTGGGACGTCGACATCAAGGCGTACTCAATGGCCTACAATTCATCAATCCACAGTGCAACCGGGTACACACCCTTCTATCTGGTGCATGGGTACGAACCGCGGATGCCGCTGGACGTCGAGTACGGACCTGCCGTCGAATCCGTGCCGGTGCACAGCTACCTCGAGGACCGACTCCGCTCCATGCGTGCCGCGTACAATCAAGTACGAAGCAACTCGGCTCGAGCCGCCAAGGAAGCCGCTGAGAGGTATGACGCGAAGCAGTGTGCCGAAGAGTATCGGATCGGGGACAAGGTCTGGACCCGAGACTTCAGGGCCGCAGCTGGCGGTAAACCCAAGCTGGGCTTACCATTCACCGGTCCCTCTACCATCATTGGTAAGGTCGGGGCCCCCGGGAAGGAGGTCGCCTATAAGGTGGCCAACAAGGACGGCAAGGTACGTGTTCTCCATCATAACCACCTGAAGCCCTCCAAATGCAGTAAGGGACGTGTCCAGGGAACCCGGGGAACCCCGAGGTCTACGGGGGAAAGGCCCCCGGGGGAGGGAGGCGGTGATGGGTCCGTGCCCGCGATAACCACAGACGATGAGAGGAGGCCTCGGATGCTCCTTCTCCTGCATCAGTCATCCTCTGGACACAGTACGCCCGCGCCTCCTGTGGGACGGGTGGGGGAGGATGACGAGAGCCCCCCAGTATACGGTCCCCCGGCCCCCTACATCACACGGTCTGGTCGAGTGTCCCGACCCGTTGTGCCGTATCAGGTGTCCGCGTAGCATGACGCGGTTTATTTGCTCTCTCAGGGACGCGATGGATGAAGAGGACCTGCTAGCGGACCTCCTGACATTCGACGAACGGCAGGACCTCTTGTTCGAGTTCGATATTGCGGAGGAAGATGACGTGAACGGGACCGCGGGAGCGGCAGAGATGGCTGAAAATGCAGCCGTTCTCTACGAGTGGATGCCCACGAGGACGGAGTCGGACGCGGCGACCGAGAGAAGCGGCGTGAGCCCGCCCTCCCGGACCGTGGACGGAGGCGGCGGGAGCGCGCCTACGACCGTGTCCGTGGTCGGGAGAAGCGGCGTGAGCCCGCCCTCCCGGACCGTGGACGGAGGCGGCGGGAGCGCGCCTATGACCGTGTCCGTGGTCGGGAGTAGCGGCGTGAGTCCGCCTTCCCGGACCGTGGACGGAGGCGGCGAGGGCGCGTCCGTGACCGTGACCGTGGAGGGCAACGTCCGCCTACCACCCCCTCAGCAGGCTCTTGGAGGCGGGTGCTGCGCTCTCCTGCGAAGCCCTGCACTGGTGCGAGACGCCATGCGCTCCTTCGGGACCGGGGGGAGCGGCGTGGGTCCGCCCCTCCGGGCGGGGCTGCTCGTGGGGGACTCGTTCGCCCGACGAGCCGGCTTTCTTCCGCGAGTGGGCGAGTGGGAGGTCACCGTGTGGGTGCCCTCTGCACAGGTCGGCAAGACCTGGGCCGGCTGTGTCCGCTCCGGTGCCCTGGCGCGCAAAGTGGAAGAGTGGAGCAAAGCGGCACGCCGAAGAGGCCTCCAGCCATCAGAAGTGGCAGTATGGCTCGGGGGCAATGACGTATACCCGTTGGGGGCCACTCCCGACCGTCTCGATGGAGCCGTATGGCGACAGCTCAAGACCACCGTCACGAGCTTGGCCAGGGACATCGCGCCGGTGATCCTGCTCGGGCCGACGCCGAGGCCCAGGCGCGATGCTCCCCTACTGTGGGCCCGGAGGGGGGCCGAGGGAAGCCCTCCCCGCGCCGCGCTGGTCGGCGAGGGGGAGGCCCAGTGGGAAGCGACGGCGGCTTTCAAACACCTCGACCGACCAGTCACCCGGTGGCTGGGGGAGCCGCTCGAGAGCGACATGCGCATCAAGCACGTGTCCGTAGGACGATGCGTGTTGGAGCGGCGGCGCCAGGGGCGTAAGGTGTCGGCGTATGTGCTGTCCCGTGCCGCGCTGCTCCATTACGACGACGATGGCGTGCACCTGTCGCCGGCGGGGTACGCACGAGTCGCGGCGAAGGCGGGCTGGCCGGCGTGGCTGCAGCTGGCTGAAGCCTGAAGATGCCCAGAGGATCGAGGACGAGGACGAGGAGCGAATCGAGGACCGCGCGCGAGACGGTGATCAGGACATCGTTGGTGACGTTGCGCGACGTGGTGGTGCCGATCGCGCACTGCCCGAGAAGCAAGTGCATTTGTGTTAGCTGGTAAATGTTATTTTGTTTGTTATCGTTCTATTTCATAATCCGCGCCGCTCTCCTGATAAGGGGGGAGGAGTGTCGGGATTTCGTATAAATATGTATCCGCGTGGTGACCGGCCGCCGCGCCGCCGCCGCCCCCGTCCGGTGCTGCCGCCTGGCGGCGGGCCGGCGAGCGACCCAGCCCGGGTCAGCGGAGCGGGCGGCCGGGCGGGCAGTCAGGCGTGGGCCCTGACCGACGACGGAGCGGCGCGGTGCAGAGCGTGTGAGACCAATACATCAGCACCGGTGACCTGTTGGTGTTGGAGCACGGCGGTGGGAGGCGAATCTCAACAGTAGCTTCGAAATGGCACATGCAATAGACACGCTAGCTACAACATTAGCCGACAATTTTAGCTAAATGCCAGACGATGCTGGCTTCAGTCGTTTTACGGGTCTCCCGAAACTGGTTGTAAAATGGTTTTCATTGACCTCTTGCCGGTGGATGCAATAAATATTTTCGATTAGCTTTGCATCCAAACTGTTCCCAGGCCATAAAGCATTCTCTCCCAAAAACCAAAAATTCTGCCTACACCAATGTTGCGCTGTTTTTTGACAGCTGAAGTGGAGAGCCTCCATGCCTGAACATGGCGTGACCTTTGGCTTCCAACATATTTGGTTTCTAAAACAAACCCGTTTATGGCCATTCAGTTCACGACAACCAGTTTTTGTCATGCTTGAATATTACCGCAGTAGCAATCTGTGTTAAAGTGACCATCCCACCTTAACATTAGTTTTGAGTTGAGATAGCCAAATTGGTGGCAATGGCCTGCAAAAACCGGATTGGGCACTCACAACATCGAAAAATGCTTTAATTCGAAGATGTGGAATTTCAAACTTGCAGTTTTCGGATTCTAAGGGGCTAGTGCATTGGGATGCCCCCTTAGAATTTGTGACGTCAGCGAAGATCTAACGATTTTTAAATCTTATACTAAAACGTTTGGTTGCACGCGGTGGTATATGCTATTTGCGCGCAACATATGCCGCAAACGCCGCACTTCCAAAATGAAGTCTCTAGAAACAGCGGATATCCCAAAAAAGTAAACAAAAGTAAAAGTCTAATATCTTGAAAACCGGTGAATATTTTTCGGTGAAATTTGGTAGATATTCGTTTTCGCTCTTTCTGAACCGAGCGACATCACTTTCATGCCAATTCATTAACTTTTTAGAAGGTGGGAGGGTCCCTTTAAAGGGACCCTCCCACCTTAACATTAGTTTTGAGTTGAGATAGCCAAGTTTGCGGCCAGGCTCAGAAACCACCATTAATCCTGGTCGCAACCCCCGCAGCTTTATAGTGTTCAAGAAATTTCTTCCCTTTACTTGCAGGGTGGGACCAGCGTAGTCCCTATCTCTTAACACTAACGAACTCTGATGACGTCATCAAGCCCATTGACCGCGCGTTATAAAATAAAAGTCTTATATTTCAAAAACGGGTGAATATTTTTCGGTGAAATTTGATAGATGTTCATTTTCGCTCTTTCTGATTCACGGTACATCACTTTTATGCCAATTCATTAACTTTTTTAAGGTGGGAGGGTCCCTTTAACGGTCGTCTTTTGGGCATCGTATCAAGCTGAATGAGTGCACCGTGGCTCAAAATGTCCCACACTTTGGTTTTCGACGAGTGCCTGGCCGTCTCCGCTGTTGGGGCGTTGTCACCATCTGACGTCCACACACGACTTTTTTGTCGCTTCAAAGGACAGAATACCTTCGTAGGACCACGAAGTGTGTTTCCATTCACTTTTTTGTTGCATATGTTATGATTTATGGCTGCCTTGTAGCGATTTGCGCTGTCTTTCCGTTAGTTTTGGCATATTTTTCAGATGAGGGGCCCCAAATTCCAAAATTTTTGTCGAAGATAGTGGTCAAAAGTAGACTGATGTTTCGTAGCTAACCCTGATCTGTCGTTAAGCTTGTTTTTGGGTAGATGGGTGACGTTTGTTGTCCATGACATGGCAGCCACCCGCTTGACGACTGGTGCATGCTCCTTTTTGGTCGCGCCCAGGCTTGTCGATCAGACTATCTCTTGCTCTCTCTGGCTTCGCTCGCTGATAGGTATAACTGCGGTTTGCTCACCCCTGCCTGCTTGCAAATGAGCTATTGGAGCTCTCCAGCAAGACCATGCCGAAAGTCCGTTTACGAACTTCAGAATCGCACTTTATTCACCATGATTGCCTTTTGGTTGCTGAGGCTGAAAACGAAAAGGGACTACTCTTTGCTGACTGTGGGTAATAACTGACTCGAGTCGTGACCGGTCACCAAAAGCACACAGTCTCGAAGCTCGATAGCTAAGGTATGTCTTATAAAAGTATAATTCTTGTATCTAATTAGAATCGAGCGCAATCGTACTTTTAGCCAGGAAATAAATGTTCGGTCAATTCTGGGACACCCTGTAGGGCATACTTGTTGTGAAGGCCTTCGTGTTTATTTTTAGGAAAGCTTGCTTCATGGCTCATACCTTGCTGCAAAACTTGCTTCATGCATCAATAACACGGGTATGCAGATTCCTTCCGTTGTTTTTTTTTTTTTTTAGGGCTTCATGGCGCGCTGGCTGCTGTCATTTTGCGCTCTTTTTTGTTGTTGTTAGCATAATGTCGAATCACCAGGACATGTATATGTATATGTTACAGGCCGTATGAAAACTCAGTCCGTTTGCAAACGGCCTGGCCCGATTCAGGCCGTTTGCAAACGGCCTGGACAGCCCAGTCAGTATGCAAACGGACTGAAAAGTCAGGCCGTTTGAATACGGGCTGAAATTCCAGGCTGTATGCAAACCGCCTGAAATTTCAGGCCGTTTGCAAACCGTCTAGGCCGTATGACAACTTTCCAGACACCAGGCCGTTTGCAAACGGTCTAGGCATTTTGAAAACAATCTGGTCTGCATAAAGTTACAGCTGGACAATGTTGAGTTTGTTGAAGCACGACCGTTTCATGACATCACATGGCACCATAAAATCCTGAGGTGCACTCGGCATCCGGAAAATATTGTCACTCGGATATTCTCCGTCGGAAAATTATTGTTGAGCGCCTATCTTCAGCATGTCTCGTTATCGCGATACCGTTCGTGATCCCCGATGATTCTCGCTAGTTCCGGAAAAATCTCCCTGATTTTCCCGATGACAAATGCAGGCTTGGTCAGGAAGAGATTAGCAGAACTGAGACCCGGCCCGTATAGCGCCCGGTCGACCCGGGCTTCCCCGGACTTCAAAGTTTCGCCTTCCACCGCAATGGTCAAGTATTGCCGGCTTACGCCACCGGCCAGCCGCCGGCGGTCGACCGGGCGCGGTGAGGACTCTAATGTGAACCAGTGGCGCGGGAGCTTCTTCCAGACTGGGGGGGGGGGGGCTGAACCATAATAGAGATCAGCCTAGGGTACCCCAAATCTAGTTTCTCACCGGTGGCACGGCCCCCACGGCCCCAGAGCGGTAGGAGCAAGCTTGCCCCACTGCCCCCTCTCCGGTTCCCGCGCCTATGTATGAATCTATGAAATTATGTTGGTAGATTTCCGATTTCGATTCCTCCAGCTGG